AACCCGGAAATAGAGTTAAGATATTATATTAGCGATTCAATATAAATTATCTAAACTAACAAATTATCAATATTGGTCCACCTACACCCCAAAGATCGGTAATTTGAGGAGCTTGAGTACGTACTACCGAAGATTGTCGATAACTGCAAATTTATATTTTCGTAAAATTTGAGTAACATAAATTTGTCTGTAAGGTAAATACCCTACTACTGATCTACAATCCGAGACGATCCGAGTATCAATCGGCCAATGTCTGTCACCTATGTCCATTGTGTAAAAGCAATAGGGCTGCTATATCAGCAACAAGACATGTATGGACATATATAGCAAATGCCTGCTTCCAGAAATCCATATACACATGTCTTTCTGGAATAATTAACTTTCGAACAATGGGTGGTGGATATTTAGGGGTTTCACATGATGTATTTCGGACCAACTGAATATACCTTACTTCTTCCTTTGTGATACCATTGTGAAAAATGTCAGAATATTTATTAGTATTATTACACAATTGAATCAATTAAATTTTTATTAATTTTTTTTATATTTGCTATACGAAAAATGTCTAAATTGAAAAGCAAAAAACCCCGTTTAGATATAAAACAAACATCTAAGGAGCAAAGACAAGGAAGAAATTTACTCGATCTACCGCCTGAAATATTAGAGAAAATTATTGGATGTGTTAATATATGGCATCACAATCGCATACGTGAGACATCAAAGCGTTTTCGAGAAATTGATGATCTCTTTGTGAGGCATGAATTTGAAAAATCATTAAACAAGGAAATTGTTGCGGATCCCAACAGTTACGCAAGTGCCGTTTTAAGGGTTTGAATTCAATTAATTCTTTGATTGTATTTCTAGTGGATTCTATGTTGTTTTTTTCTATTATATTTTAGAGTATACGGCAAGCAGCCGAAGTGTATTTGCATTCGGAATTTGATTCGATTTTTTGTGGATGCATTTTACCCATGCTGCGGAACTCATACAAAAATCCATTTCGTCCCCAGGTTAATCTTGTTAGTAAATTCTTAGTGCATTTCTATAATTTGGTTGAGGAGAAAATTGGTGACCCAATGTCTCAATACTCTAGGCTTTTGTATTCTTTAACGTTGATGAGATTTTTCAAGGTAAGTTACAACACTCATGGGGACATTTTTGTTGTTTCTTTAGGACTAACAATAACAATTTTGGTCATTTCAACACTAAGGCTTTTGATAGATGTACCATTATATCATCAACTACGTTACCATTTCACTGGCGAGTTGTTATCGAATTAGAAGGTCCCTGGCTGGGTATGTTGTGGAATTCAAAGCGTAGAACTCCAGAAGAATTTTGCCGAAGCCATCTGTTAGTTATACTGACCGAAATGCTAATAACTAACATAACTGGTAAAGCATTCAAGTAAGTAGCAATGGAAATAATTGGCTTGTGAACATGATTCGTTATTATTAGCAAAGGAAAATATGAGTTTTGCAATGAAAAAACTAGTAAGGAAAGCAGTAAAGTCGGACTGGGCCGACTATATGATACCCTTCACCACTTTGGGTATATTGTACATATGTATCCCCTCCAAGGAACATACGCAAGTCTTTCTGCAACCTATGATAAATTTAATTTCATAGCAAAATTAATACACGCTATTCGGTCGCCGCACTGTTAAAATTTTAATTTCATTCAGACATCCATTCGAAATACATATGGAAGCTATGACAGCATCCACTTCAATTTCAACAAAACGCAATAACCTTATTCAAGTCTCAACTTGATACGTTTTGCAAAAAATCGTGTTAATCGGACAAACATTAGAAGGTTGGTGCACAATTTATGTAAAATCGGACGTATATATATGTATATGTGGGAGCTATATCGAAACCAGAACCAATTTTTCCGAAACATAGCACACATCATTCCAGACTTAATTTAGTGCGCTGTGCCAAATTTCATGCAAATCGAACGATATATAGGGACTTTGGTGCACCATTTACCTTAAATCGGACGAAACTATATATGGGAGCTATATCTAAATCTGAACCGATTTTCTCTAAACTTGGCACACATCATTCTGCACCTAATTCATTACTCTATGCCAAATTTCGTGCGAATCGAAAGATATAGAGGGACTTTGGTGCCCCATTTACCTTAAATCGGACGAAAATATATATGGGAGCTATATCTAAATCTGAACCGATTTTTCCCAATTTCAATAGGGTTCGTCCCTAGGCCAAATAAGTGACTTGTGCCAAATTTCATCCAAATCGGATCATAAATGCGACCTGTACTTTGTTTACAATTTAACATCTACAGACGGACGGACGGACATGCATAAATCGACTCAGAAAGTGATTCTATGCATATTCTCAAAAGAAACCATGTGTCTATCTCGTTTCCTTTCGCCTGTTACAAACATATGCACAAAGACATAATACCCTGTACCACAGTGTGGTGAAGGGTATAACTATAAAGGTAAAATAGTATCATGGCAAGGTTATATCTTTTCTGTAACGAACATATTTTTATTGGTTTATCTTTGGTTTTACTGGTTTATTGGTTTATCGTCCGAACTTTTTATACCCTCCACCATGAGGATGACATTCGAAATATGTAAAACCAGTAAGGAAAATTCAAAAGTCGGACGGGGCCGACTATATGATACCCTTCACCACTTTGGATACATACAAGAGATGTTAATATCTACAAAATCGGGCGAAATAAAATATGCTATCTAGAAAGATATTTGAACTAACTGAAAAAACTTCATACACATACCATTCTAAAATCAATAAAAAATTGCACGTCAAACGGGCAGACTTGGATTTTTTGGTGTATAATTTGTATGAAAGGAAAAAAATATATATATGGGATCTATATATCAACATATGAACCTAATTGAGCAACCATTGCATACACCATTTGTTTTTTGTTATCACCCTATATTCAATTTAATACTCTCTGCCAATTTTCGTGTAAATCGAACAAACATAGGCCCTACATAACATCGAAATAAAATATATATAAAACCTATATCAAAATCTTAACCGATTTCAACAAACCCTATTACACATAATTTTTTACAATTGCATTCGCTATGCAAAATTTTATATGGGAGCTATATCTAAATCTGAACCGATTTCAACAGACATCATTCTGGACATAATTCGGCACTTTGTCCAAAATTTTGTCTCAATCGGACACATATTGGGAGTTTGGTGCACCATTTACATAAAATCGGACGAATCTAATATGGGAGCTATATCTAAATCTTTACCGATTTTCTCCAATTTTAATATGGTTCGTCCTTGGGCCAAATAAGTGAACTGTGCCAAATTTCATCCAAATCGGATCATAAATGCGACCTGTACACTGTTCACAAAAATACATGGACGGGCGGACATACGGATATATGTAAATCAACTCAGGAAGTAATTCTATGCATATTCTCAAAAGGAACCATGGGTCTATTTCGATTCCTTTTGCCTGTTACAAACATATGCACAAAGACATAATACCATGTACCACAGTGTGGTATTGAAATTACTTTTAGTACAGAGGTGTGGGGTACCGTTATATGGGGCTACCCTGAAACTTGGGGTCAATATTAATAATTTTTAGTACGATAATATGCCATGAACCCAAAGTATCAAATTACAGCAAATTTGCCTGAAAAATGTCTGTGCAAAATTTCAGAGCTCTATTGACATAGAATTTTTGTCACATTATGGGGGAGGCACACGATGGGAATGTAAATCATTTTTGTGTGAGCTAAAAGAAGGAACGAGGCGATCGGCCACATCTTGGGAGTCGACCTAAGCTAGGTAAAAATATTACGATGTGCAAAGTTTCGATAGAATTTAGATATTCTACTCGCTTCATATAAGATTAACCATTTTGCGGGGGAGGTACTAGTGGGAATGGACCAATTTTCCCATGATATTAGCAAATTAATTTTCAGGAGGTACCAGAGGATTGGACAGATATTCCCCATCTTGCAACAGGATTTAAATTAATAAAATCCGATAAGTTCTATCATCAAACATGGTAGCGAAATTACAGGTTCTTCGGTTGGATAATGAAGCAAGAACCTTCAAAATACCACAAATCCTGCTTCATTATCCAACCGAAGCACTTGTAATTTCGCATATCGAGTCAGAGGATGGAATACCTCCTCGCACAAAAAAGTAATTCTATGTACATATATACTAAAAAGTAACTATGGGTCTATCTCGTTTCCTTATGGATGTTGCAAACACATGCACCAAGTTATATTTTCCTGTGCCACATTTCGGTGATGTATACAAACACATTTTTGCACAAAAATAAGTATCAAAATAAACAGTTGACTTCAATTTTAGAGATATGATTTTTTTTGTTTTATTGATGAACAGTCGACATCGTCTCATAAATGTTACAGAATACCAAATCAATGTCGAAGTCGATTTTTTCCGTAGCCATAAATAAAGCCTCAAGCTTCCCAACGACAAACATTTCGATTGATTTATGTACTTTTTTATAAGCTTTATATTATATTTGTAAAATTATTTCATGTCTAACTTAATATATTGTTTCATTAATTCCATAGACGAGTCTGGGAATGTCCCAGCGAACTCTATGTGTTCGGCAATGATACTAGCATTGGAAAACGTATACCATGCACCCTGTTCACCATTACAGTGCACGGCTCGAAGAAGATATGCACTTTATTTCAATCCTTTCTTGGCATTGATGGCCAAGTGTTTCAATGGCCAACAAAATGGCCCAAAGATCAATTTACAGTCAATTTGGATATTGAGTGCAAGGAAGCAACAAAATGGGGATGTTCCAAATCGTTGCATTTGGAGTTTAGTCCATTTGCCAGATTATCACATAGTGAAGAAGATATACAGTGTGGAGACTATAATGAAAATACTATATATTTTGGTGATTTTCCATGATTTTGTGATCTATTAAAAATATAACAAATACGGTATATAACATATTCAATTGTGATTTATTTAAACAGTTTTAAAATGATTTTGTAAAAAAATTAATTACAAATATTTTTGTAAAGATTCACCTAAAATAACCTCCAATTCTTGTACCGATTTTCTAGTATTCTTCTCCACTCGTGGATTTTCGTCTTCAAACAGTTCTGAAATGAATGGTACTGTTTCGGGTAGCAATGGAGTAAAATCTTCGCCCAATTTGCGTGCAATCTCAACGCAGCAATTAAAGGCAAATATACGAACTTCGGGAACAGTCGTACGTGTCTTAAGCAAAACTTGATAATTTAGTTGTTTCCACATAACGTCACTTGACACATCAACAGCAAGTTGAGCTATACATTGTCCGAGCACTGCTTGCAGACTTTCATCTTCCAGAACTAAACGATTTTCCAATTGATCAACAATTGCGGGCATAAGATATTCGAATCGTTGGGTATTTACAAATTCCTTGCTATCATATAAGAAAATATTGTGCAGGGTAGCCAGTATGGCCTTTAGTAGTTGAGTTATTAACGGTTCCTCGTTGCTTGGTATTTCCGTCTTGAGGGCATTACATTCATCTAGTAGGCGGGCAGCATCTTCGATAAATTCGCTGGCAAAAAGTACAAACAATGACTTCAATGACTCGCCTATTTTTTGTGTGAGTAAGAAATAGGTTAACATGGTCTCCTTCTGAGGCTGGTCATGCTGGAATGCCCAATTGTAAAGTTTGTGGTACAAGGGCCTAAATGAACTTTCCGATAGCTTCAATACCCAAGCAACAAAGGCCTCGACGATTGTAGTTTCAGTTTTGCTAACAACATCTCCATCTACATTAGAATCCTTTAGTAGTAATCGGAATTCTAAAGCCTGCATAAACATGGTGCTTAATTCCGAATGCACTGCCGTCAGGTCTTTATTTTCTGCATGTGCAATGGCCTGATGCAGAAGTTTCATAAGTACGCTTATATCAGCATAATTCTTGGTTGTCATTAAGCGGGCATAGGCCTTGTCACAAGAAGGCACAAGAATACGCAATGGTAAATCAGTTGCTATTTTTGACCAAATTATTGTAATTTTCTGTAGGGTTGTGCTCGATCGTTGATCCTTTTCATTATTCTGCGCTCTAATGCGTGTACCGATTGAACTGAGTGCAGTAATAATATCCACAATATAGGGGCCCAGGAACAATGGTAGAGTTTCAAAAAGTTTTTGCATACCTAAAAATGAGATATATTAGAATAATTATAAATTGAACATGGAAAGACAAAAATCCGATAAATCTATTTTGTTTTCTTTCACAACTTACCAGTTACAATGGCCACACAAATATTATCTGGTGGCTGTTGACGTACTAATTCCGCGTGATCTTGCAATATTTCAATGAGTTGAGGCATAAATTTGGGCAAATGAGCTATAGAGTGTGCCTTCAAATTGGAAGAGATTTCAATCATCGTCAAAACCACCGTAGCCAGAACAATTTTTGAAATGGCTGTGCGCTGTCGGGTAATTTTCGTGAGTGTTGTCAAAATTTCCTTAAATTCAGGAATATGTTTAATGGCGAACGTCTTTGATAAGAGTTTAATTGCTATTAAAGCTGTCTGTTGCAAAAAGATCAATTCATTTTGATGGGCTGGGTCTACGCTGTCATCACGCACCAAAATACCGTTTATAATTTCTGACAACGGTTGCAGCAGATTATCAAAGTGTTCGGAATCCACATAATCAAAGAAGCCATCCCTTTGCTGTAGTTTACTAATCAAAAGTTCGATGACCTTTTTACGTATGGACAACAGTTGATGGTGCATTAGGCCATTGACGACAACTAAAAACATTTCAGCCGAAAGCAGAGATATTGAATTGTCCAAAACATCGTGCAGATGATGAAGTATAACTTTCCAGAATTTTTGCAACGATGCCTCCTCGGCCTTTTCAATGGCTGATGTCACATTGGGTACATAGGAGAGTATGCGTATAATAAGTTTCTGATAGTAGGATTTCATTTCCAAAATTTCTTCATCCGTTAGCTTTGCTATTTTCTTTAGGAACTCGTCAGAAGATGTGATAGCCGAAAGGAATTGCATAATAACGTATTTATAATGCCTTAGCTGTTTGGCCGAGCGAGCATTCACATCAAATAGACTGGCCTCATGATTGTCGGCGTTAGTAAGTGATTTCCTTTCAGATTTTTCTTGCTTTTGCATGGGTAACTCTGCAGTATATTTCATCAGCTGAATGCAGGTTTCCAATATCTCGTCGGGAGCAAAGGTATTACATAGCTCGAGGACAATCTCAATCCGCTTAGACATTTGATCGGCCGATGCTACTGAAGGTTTTGCCGATTTCTTTTGTAACATTCTTTGTTTTTCATCGTCAATTACATGCGCTTCGAAAACCACGCATAAAAACATCCAAAGGTGATCGACGGATCCCAAGGTCTTTATTAGTTTGGTGTACAACGGCAAACGTCGGTGTTCGGGAACGTCGAGCATTATATCGGAGAAGACTTTGAGCACAGGTATGACAGCGGTTTTGTCCTTTACCAATATGGGCACAATGGACACAATGATATCGTTGATAATGTGGAAACTAAAGGCATCATCATGGCGCACCACCGAAGACCCCATAAATGTAAATATGTCCACTATATTGTGTAGTACCTGTTGAGGAAATAGAGCGGCGCAATGGGACAACAAAAGCAAAGCATTGTGATGGGTTTGGGGATTTTGCGAAGCTCGAAGGCACTGTACAATTTGGTCCACACGGAATGTGGTCTTTGGTAGTGCAGTCTGCAAATTAACATTATCCTCTGTTGCCTTTTGGCAGCAATTGAGCAATGCAGACAATACCAATTGTTTGGTATATTCGACGGTTGTTTGCTCCTCCACCGCCAAGCAACAATTGAGCAATTCAAAAAGAGGCGGTATCAAGACGGTACAATTTTCTAGTTTCTTTTTATTTTCCAAAATTTCCATTAACACCACACCCTTTTTCCACTCGAGACCACTGACATGCAACACTGGTGATTGCATCGTTTCACGTTTATTGGCGCCACGACGAGGTGTTGACGACTTGCTACTATCCAAACAAGCCTTGTACATATTATGAATGATTTCATGCAACGGTTCGCAGTTAACGGTACATTTTTTCAACAGTTTATTTGCTGCCAAGAAAATGCTATCGTTCTCAGCGATAGCCAAAGTCTTGATGAGCAATAACAAGAACTGGTTTTTGTATTTCGATGGCATTTTCTCGAAGCTAAATTCGTCTAGAGACTCCAAGAAAACACAGGTAACTGATTTTAGTCCATCTTCGCTATCGAGGAATACCATACAATTTTCAAATATGTTTTCAATTAATTCCCATGCATTGTGATTATCGAGCAAAACATCTTCAATGTATGAGGTATTAAAGCGTTCTAGGACTAAGCGGACAATTGAAGCATATGGTTCCTTCAAATGTTGCAATGACTGATCCAATGTAAAGAGCTGCAAAGCCCTTGAGGCCAAAGGCACTACGCTTTTAATAATTTCTGTATCATCACTGATGTGAACTATAATGCGTAGGAGTTTTTCAACAAACACTGCTTGTTCTAAAGACTCGTGTTTGCCAAATATGGCTAAAATGCCTTTCAATATCTTGGAACCCATTGTAATTGTCTGCTTATTTTCACCGCCTTTCAAAAGGCCGTACAAAATCAAGGGATATTGTTCTGAATCCATTGATATCTCTTCCGAACGTTCAAGAACTGATTTCACGAAGAATTCCAATTCCCCATCAACTGTAGAGGTTTCATTCAGTAAAACTTTCAATGTTGCCAGGGCTTCCGAACGCACAACTTGTGATGAACTTAATAAAGCAATGGTAATTTTGAAGATATGTAGAGCTTCTAATTTCAGGTTATTGCTATTTTTCAACAAACTTTGGACAAGTTGGAAAGCTCTCACGCGTAACACCGGATATTCTGCAACAGTTGCATGTTCTTCATACACATAGAAATCAATTAAGAAAGTGAGTTTTTGCAGGGGACTCTTAAAGACCGAATCAAACAATTCCTTCAATATTTTAGACCACTCCGTCTGTTCATTATCCAAACTGAACGATTTATCGGCCACAAATTCAAATACGGTCAGGAAATATTCCAACTCAGCATTTTTTAATTCTTCCCAGGAGCACATAGAGAGTTTTTCCAAATTGGTATGCTTGGTTAGGGCCAACAAGAAATCGCAAAACAACTGCATAGGTATATAATTCAATCGATTCAAAACTTTGTCACCTTGAGAATAATCCAAATGTTTGATGGGAAACTTATTGACGTAGTTTGAAATCTGCTTAAAGATTTGTGAGCTTTTTTCAGCCGTATATTTTTCCTTCAAACATGCAGTGACCAACATCAAAAAGTGGTATACTTGTATGGCTTGTTTGAAGTAGTTGTCTCCTTGTGATTGTACACTTTCGAAGAGAGAAATCACGGAAGGTTTATCCTGGCTAAAACTTACAACATCCAAAAATTGTCGTTTGAAGTCGGCAACATTGAACTTATTGCCCTTTGGTATAGACAACTTTTTCAGAAAAGCTATTTGTACGGCTAGTTCGCTATTTAAAATACTTCCAACAGCCTCTGCTGAAGTAGCCTCACTATCAACGGGAAATATGATGGGCATAATGGCGAGTAGTATTAAATTGTTGTCGTAGTGTTTGACAACTGCATCACTTGTTAGGTGTTTCACAACAACTGCCGTTAATTGCGACCATTCTTTTGGATCAACTTGTATTTTATACAAAATACTTATTAAGGCTTCCACAAACTGTTGAGCTCCCATAATTTCCAATATTTCATCTGTTTGCAGTTTCAACAATTCGATGACAATTTCAGGTTTGTCGTCAGTAATACGATCGCAAAGACATTCTTTAAGTAGTTGATAATTTTGTGGTCGCTTTTGATAGTCTTTTAGATTTGCAACTAAATTTTGTATGGCTAAAAGACGTATTTCACCATTATGATGATAAAGGCTTTCGTAGATGTCGTAAGCAGCATTACCAAACGACTTAAGGCGATAACCTGTAAAATAAAAGGATATTATATTAATAGGTGTAACGTTTTAATTTCATGTATAAATGCAAAATATGTGAAAATGTAATACGTATATATAAAAGTATATGGGCAATGTTGCCAATTTTTTAACATAGCTGAAGCGGAGGTTCACCCCTTTATAACTCGGGAACTACTTAAGTATATGAAAAAAAGTGAATAGTTTTGGGTTAATTAATCTGTCGTTGCAAACTGTTCATGATATTGACCTCCAAACTTTATTTTGGTGGAAGCTGTGTCTACTTTAATGTAAAAAAATGTGTAAAAACACGTTGAGGCGAACCAGTTTTTTTATGTTCTATATCGATTTGTGACTAAGCCACTCATTGCACGGTCTTCGTGTCAAAATAAAACTAGAAGCCAACAAAATGGGGACTACGCCTCTTATGTATCATTTTTCAAAATTTTCACTGCATCTACCTTTAAATGATGCTGACATTTTGAAGCTCGATTTTGAGTGTTTTTTTAATTTTACTTCTAGCTTTAATACGCAAACAGGAATTTATAAAAATCGGTTATAAGATTATTGTAGTCGCGAATCTGCGTAATTTGATACGTATTTTGTGTATGTAGTATGCACAGCTTCAGAGTAATACTCATCCGAAGGTGCGAATTTTGTGCGATCAAATTTCTAAAAAACCTATTTTTCGGGCCAAATTTTTAGATCTGTCAACTGAATGATATGGGTACCCGCGATCAATAAGGTTTTTTACGTTTCGGATGATATAACATCTTCTTCGTGAAAATCCATCTACTAGAACGGCGGGAACTGGCCTTCCAAAAACACGAAATTTGGCAAAAAATGTTTTTTAAAATATCGCGGATTTATTTGCGTTTTCTGTGTATCATTTCCGCTTCAATAAATGACCTCATACGGATTTTGATCTTTTTCGAAAAGAGAACTTTAAAAACTTCAGCCGAAAGAGAGATGTACGCAATTTATCTCAAAAGTAGATTTTGCTGGCACATCCATGGTTTAAGATTTATTCCTATTTATAGAATTCTAAGATTTAACGGAAGGGTCTTGATATAATCCGCAAGGCGTATACTTATACACAAAAAGTGATTATTATTATATATGTCAATTTTTCGGCGAAATTCGGGTAAAATAGCAGAATAACCCCAACATTTTTTATCTGAAATTTCTTGTATACAATTAAAAAAATAAATATGATGACATTATTTTTTCGAACCAAAAACAAATATTTTTCCTCAATATCTTGTTTTGTTGTCGCTTTGATTTAGAAACCGCTACACGGACTTGTGTGATTTTGATATCATTTGATTCACCATGGTGTTTAGATTATGTACATATTTTTAAAATAATTTTTAGGTGTGTGTATGTCATTAATATAATGAAAATATTGATGTAATCTGCTATATTTTTTTATTTTTTTCATATTTCGCGAATATGTGCAACTTTATCGCGATTATTATAATATATTCATATTATTATTTTACGGAGCAAGATATATATCAACGTTTTTGGTCAATATATTTAATGGCGTAATTTTAAGATTTTTTTCTTATGCCCAAAATTAAAACCTCGATAACTTTTGCGCGCATCGACCAAAAATTTGATCGCGAACGGTTTCGGAGTCAGAACATTTTTCTCTATATCTGTACCAAAAATCATTGATGTGCAACAAAAACAAAAAAGCTGATTTTTTGAAAATGGAATATTAAAAAATTGGCAATATTGCCCATATATATTCGTTCAACCAAATCCGACTATATTAAATAATGTTGGACCATACAAAACTTATCCTTTTAATACTAAAAAGCTCGTTTCATACACGTACACTTTGAAAAGTCACCTGTACACCAATTCTAAACACACATTCTTTTACCAAATATTAATTTCACTAATTTTAGTACACTTATGGTATGTTTTTTTACTACAAGAATCTACTATTTTTCCGATATCATAAAGGAGAAATTGTTATCGTAGTAAAAATTTGTACATTGTTATCATAAATTTCGTTGACACATTGATTCCAGCCAAATTTTGCTATAAAATGGAATAATTTTAGTACAAGTATGCATTTCTTCCATAAGAATATTATATTTTTAAAATCAGAACTTGAAACGCTTTAATATAATAATCGTATTGATATAGTGCACTTTAAAAGTCATAAAATAATGCAAGCTCCAAGCGGATTTCCACAAGAAATAATTTATACCGTTGTAATCAATGCATGGGTATTCCTTACCCTGATACAATTTTTAAAAAGGGCCGGACTCAAATTAAGTTCATTCTAGAGAATTTAAAAAGAAAAACTTACCCAAAGCCATTTTAATAGCAATGCTGCGGTCGTTTGAAATGTCTTTTTCTTTATTTGACAAAGAATCCTTTATTGTCAAGTCAAATGCTGCCGGATATTGACGTTCCAGTTTACGCAAATAATTGGAATACCAAAGGTGAGAACTAAATCGTACATCAACATCATCATCGTCGTCGTCATCAGAGCCTAATTCGATAATATCACTCTCCATACTAGTGTCATTTGATTTTTGAGAAGAATCGGGTGTCGGAGTCGGAGCAACATAGCAATCCAAAAATGTACTGCGGATAAAAATGAAAATATAAATAAAATCATTCCAAATTATATTACCGAAGAGTAAATACATTACCTGATAATCTGCTGTGCTGTGGTTGTTGGAAATACGACCTCATCAATTAGATCTTCTAAAAACTTTTGATAAATTTGCCATTGGGAGATTTGGGCGTGAATGGCACGAACTGAATCCACGATTAAGGGCAAACATATGGATTGTATATCAACATTTTCTTTAGCCAAGTCAGAGAGTATTGTTAAGAACCATTTCTGTTTCATCAAATGACACAACGTTTCTTCATTGAACTTGGGCTGGGAAGCTTGTTGGCTATCAAAAATCCAGATGAGCAAAAGAACGGCAGTGCGTCGCAGGCGTTCAAATTTCACATTCGCAACTTTAGTTATGAGGGCATTACACAATTTTGCAGTCACTAGAGTGCGGGCGACAAGCCTGGCCGTGATAATATATGCGGCCGATGCAAAATCAATAGTGTTCGATGTAAGACCTTTCATCAATGAAGGCAATAGTGTCGTTATATGCCATTCCTGTATGACACTGGCTGTTTCCAAGGCACCCACTACCACTGAACCATAAAAGTTCATCTGTGTTTGCAATAAGTGGGCCTCAGAACCCAGTTCCTTTATCGCTTCTGTGGTAATTTTGCACACAAAATTAAAGAAACCTTTATCGGTGGCTGCTCTGTTCAGAATGGCTGACTTGGCCAAAGGTTTGCCAGGTTTCTGCAACGGCTTCAACCAATACCAATCCTTATCCGACTCTTTGAGACTAAATGTTTGGATAACCTTGACAAACGCATTTGTCTCATGATAAGGCAGCACTAGGGCCATAAGCTCATTACGATTATACTCGTGTACTTGGAAACGCCTCACCAACCATTCTAAACACAAAAGAGATGGTCTTAGCAAAAAGTATGGGCTCAAGTGCTGCAAGAACTTTTTAATATTTCGATTCAACAGGTCATTGACTTCCTTCACTTCAACAGCTCTCTCCATATGCAACGTATTTTCATCGAATAGTGTCTGCTCAAACTGCTGGAATGTTGGATTAAGAACAATTAACTCCTGCAAGCCATGGATGCCCAAGTCATAAATGGTACGTCTATCCTTACTGGCAGCCTCCTTGGGGTCAAAAAGAATGGAGGCACGTCGTTTAGGATCAGCTATTACTCCCGACTGTGGAGCCTTTAAACGCTGTAGTTGTTCAAACAATGATGTTGACATTTTGGAACTACTGTCAAATATTAGTTAATTGTGTTTAAAATATCTGTTTTATTTCAGGTTTTCCTTAATTTCTCTGGGCACTAGTAAAAATTAACACTCAGACCGCATTGTCCAAGATGTGAAATGTCAACACGAACAACGTGTTTGTGTTGCAATGCTAGCAAGTATTCGAATATTAAGTACTCGGCGATAATGTGAGTGTGGGGTACAAATTCACATTTTTCGATTTATCATACAACGCAGCGCGTTCACACATCTGTCGTGTTTTCAAACAAATGATGTGTTTCACAAAATGTCATTGTATCTATTTCATTAATTTAATTTTTGTGTGCCTGCGCAATTACTGAGTTCATTCTTTTTTGTGTAATAATAAAATTACAAAAAGTAAAAAAACAACACAAGGTTATCCATAAGGTTAACAAGCAGGCGAATACATACCTTAGTTTGTAGCTATGCTCATGCCTTCGAATTCGCCTCCCTGTTAACCTTATGAATAAACCTTGAAACAACATTTGGTACACTTGGTAGAACTTTTAACAGGTTAGCCTACTTCACGAGGATTTATTTGACATAAATCTAATGGAATTGACAATATTAATCCACTGGGTTGAAGAAATCCAGTATAATGTTAATGTACAATATGATGATGAGGATGAAAGGACTTTATAGCCTGTTTTAATAAATGTAACAGCTCTATTCGTTCGGCGAAAAAACGAGTTTTCAAATTTTAGAAGTTTACGGTTTAAAACGAACTACAGTCGAAATCGCTTATGGCGGCTGTCAAGGAACCGGCAAAATAGGTTGCTATAAAGGATATGTCGTAATAAACAATAACAAATAAAGGTTCCGCCCTTCTTCTTGGGACTTTTGTATACAGTCGTTATAAACAATAAAACGAAATTGTGATAAAATTTAATAAATGCGATTAACATTCATCCCATTCCTACTGGAGTCAATCAAAACGAAAAAGAGTTTTGAAGGAAAAAATAAAACTCCCAAAAAAAGTTTTCTTTTTGACGAATAAAATAAAAATCCCAAAAAGAGTTTTATTTTTGACGGACAAAATAAAAATCCCTGAAAAAGTTGTATTTTTAACTGAAAAAATAACAATCATTAGTTGTGTCTGTTTACCCAAAAATCCAGTAAAAGAGAGTCAAGTGAGAGAGCATGTTTGACAGTTCAACAACAACAAACTTAGTGGAGTTTACTGAAAGAAATTTATGCAGTAAGATTTTGCAAACTCAGCCATTTTTGGATCAGCTGTTTTATGACCAACCACAAAAATTATTCAAATTTTTTTTTTTAATTTGCAAAGTTCAATTTCAAGTTAAGTTGTATACAAATACAGAAAATGGAAGAAAATTCGTAAGTAATGCAAAGTTTCATTAAATTAGAAACTAATTCTTTATATTTAGGCATGTTCCAGAAAGAGGACAATGTATCGATGCAGGAAGCTTAAATGTTAACGAAATCAATCAACCAAATCAATTATTCTTTATTTGTTCATTTTCTTTTTAACATTAAATGCAATACAAATAATTGTGTTCGTTCTCGGATTTTCAAAAATAACTGTTATTTTCGGTCCCTGGTTTGAGGGATTTTTCTACCAATACGGCCGATAATAATCGCTTCTTACACTGACCTTTTTATTGGGCCGTGATATAGGTTGCTATGTCCCATGGCCCAAATATCAGCAGCCAAAATTGTATTTGGAGTGAACAACACAAATTGGCAACCACACACATTTAACGTAAACCAAGGTAGATGTATTAGGTAGTCGCATCGACCCAGTTGATTGCCAGTTGAATGTCAAAACAAATTGTTGTAGTTTTTAATTCGCCTTAAAAATTAATTAATTTTTGTAAATAAAATTGAAGTTTCGTGATTTTTTTCCAATTTTACTTCGAAAGAACCAAAAGATCTAAAAATGAACAGGAATTTTATATGAGGGCTACATCAAAACTGGAAAGATTTTCGTAAAAGGTGTTTTAATTTACAAGAAATGATTCAACCAATCAGAACAAAATGTTTGTATACCCTACACATCTATGTTAAAAGTATGGATTGCCTCAAGAGTTTGTAGATGCACGACTCATTTCTTGTAGTTTGGGCTGTAACATGCCCAAGCTACAAGAAATGAGGCTGAACGAAAGGGATACACACTCCACTTTATGATGAAGGGAGTAAAACATTTGAAAATTGACACTATATGGAACTTCTCCACATGAACATGAACTATATATATATGGTATATGAACTAAATACTGAACGATTATTATGAAAACAGTTATATTAATTCGTAGGCCAGATCCCCATCTCCGTAATTTCCTGGGTTTGGGTCATAATTGTGGCCTCTAAACACAAACTGGACACTACCAAAACCAATAGAAGTAGACTTATGCCAGAACCGTATATACATAAAAAAATTCCACAATTCATCAAGGGAAATTATTGAAAGATGCCTACACATACTGAATCGTTTATTCAAAATAGTGCTAATGTTGTGTTTTCAGAAGATAATTTTTTTCCATCGCCATTTGATTTGGATCATGATAATCAGATTACAAATTATAATGAACAGACGAATATATGATAAACGATATACAAAAAAATGAGTTTAGGAGTAGTGCAGCTACAAACTCTTGAGGCAACACATAGTTTTAACATAGATGTGTAGGGTATTAAAAAATTTTGTTCTGATTGGTTGAATCAAATTTGCCTAAATTTTGAAATGTCAAGGCGAATTGAATTTTATTTGCCTTGTTTACACATTTTGACATATTATGTTCCCAAAAAAGTTGCTTTGTTGTAGTAATTCGCCGATGCGACTACCTAATATATGTGCCTTGACGCAAACAATACATTTGTTTGTTTCCAAGTTTTGAAATATATTTTTCATATTTTAATAAATTAATTTTTGAACAAAAAACTTGTATACGCCTTGCAATGGCCTACCATGGCACCATCTACTGAAAAAAGTTGTAACTAACGGCAATCGGTTGTGTTTAGCAAAGACATACAACGCACACAACAATATTGGGTATCACAAAGTTCTACTTAGCCAATAGATGGAGCTATGTTTGGTAGAATAATAAGTTTGAAAAAAACACACACACAAAAGCATAAAAATACGAGTATAAGAGTCGACAATATCCAACAGATGACTTGTTGTGTGGTAACTACAGAGCGACTAATGTTAACTGGAATAACGTTTTGAGCAGGGTGCGCAAAAATTCGCTCGTTTTGTGCTCATTTTAAGAATGAATTTATGGTGATATATTCTTTATATACTCGCGAGATGGTAACCATAGTTTAGTGGTGTTGCCAGTTGCCAAATTTGAATTATGGATGGCAACTGTTGTCAACTTCAGTTGCTTCAAAAATAATTTTTCGGCAACCATTTATTAGTTTAACTGAAATTTATTTAGTTTAACTGAAATTTGTAGGCTTCCCATAATGGCTAATATTACTACAAAAGAACAATTTGAGGTGTTAATTGCCCGGATGAAAGCTCACCCAAATGTAGCACGCGGCGTGCGGACTTTTGGTCAAACCAAAGCCACTATCGATGATGTGTGGAAGGCCATTTCAGAAGACCTTAACTGCTATGTCCCACCAACACGCATTCCAAATGAATGGGTCCATTTGGGTCCATGATATGTACGTGTGTGTCATCAATGCATCCGACAAAACCCGGAAACTTTGTTTTCGAATGAAAACAAATTTTTATTCTTCCCTTTTTCCTCCTCTGTTAATTTGGAAACAATCCAAATTTTACACAGTTTTTCCTCTATTAGTCGGACAACTTCGGGCAAAACCACCGAAATTGTGGGTTGAGCCATGCCAAGGTTGAAGTCATGGGACTTTTGAAAACTTTCTTCGCAAAATCTCAGAGCTGCACACACTTTTAAGAGAGGAGGAATTGCTGTTGACCGCCGGACTTTTCGGAAAGCAGGGTTTAAGGCTTTAACTAAGTACACAACGGCATCTTTTGGTAGCCGAAAATACGCCTTAAAGCTAAAATGAGCAGTTGATTGAACATTTCTCTGAACATAAATATCTACTGGTAGTTCTAATGGATTGGATTTATCTCTTGAATGCCTTCTAATAGATGCCACGCCTTGCACATCATTTTCATCATCAAAAAATAGTTCCACTGAGCTTATCATCACTTAAAATTAGTTTTTTTTTGTGAACTATTCTATTCAATTTTTTGTTTGTTTACAATATTTCTAGTTGCAGAAGTGTCAAAACATAATATTATCATAATATTAAGTTTATTTCAGTGGCGTTGTCAGTTGGAATCGCAACTGGAGTTTGGTTGCTATGCATAACCGACCCATTAGTTTATAATTTTCAGTTTCAATTAAAAAAAAAATCGATAAACCGGCGTTCGATTATCCGATCGATTCAAAAAAGTATTATCAACAAATGACAACAACAACCAATGAGTTATTAGAAATAATTGGATAATACATACCGAAATCTATTGTTGAAAAGTGCTGTATTCTTTTCGCTTTTAGCGGACGAAACTACAGATGTAGGAGCAGCTCTTAATATCTAGAAGATTTTTGGACAAGGTTTCTAAAAAGTCAAAGAATGTTTCCTTTGATACGTGGTTGTAAAAGGATTAACAGGGGATTAACTTAACCGTCATAATGAACCAAATAAACTGAAGTGCCATTCTGTAAACCTTTTCAAAGTTTCTGACAAATATCGGAAAAATTAAAACAAATTGTTTTATGTTAAGGTATTAGGTATTTTCAAAGTTTTGTTTACATTGGTTCAGATTTAGATATATCTCCCATATATAGTTTCGTCCGATTTTTTGTAAATGATACACCAAACTCCCAATATTTGTCCGATTGAGACAAAATTTTGCACAGAGTACTGAATTAGGTCCAGACTGATGTCTGTGAATTTTTGTTAATATCGGTTTAGATTTAGATATAGCTCGCATATATTGTTACGTCCGATTTTATGTGGATTATGCACCAATA